CCCCCCCCCCCCTCTCCTCCCTCCTGGTCCATAAACATACCCACCGCACAGGGAGGGATCACGGCCACCGCAAATCGGCCGGATGGAGGGGGCCAGGAAAACAATTGTGGAGTAAGAACCCCACGGAATGGCACAATATCCCCCCCCCCCACCAGCCTCAGGGCGCTCTCTCTCGGGGGCCCGGGTCCGAAGGGGGAGGGGGCGACCCTTTGTTGGCGCCTTGCCATCACCCCCGGGGGGGGCAGAGGGTGGCCCTTCTCGACGTGGATTGGTCGGCAGCATCGATCCCCGCCCAACCAACACACACACACACACACACACACACACACACACACACACACACACACACACACACACACACACACACGCACGCACGCACGCACGCACCCGGCCCTCTTGCGGGTACTCGCTGGGGGGGGGGGGGCCGGGTCGACGCGCCGCCCTCCCCCCTGACGGCGGGAGTGGCCCTCCCGCGGGGGCAGCCACGCGGCTCGCGGCGGTCGATCGGGCGGCCGCTCGACACAGGCGCTTGCCCATACATGTGTGTATGTGTGGTGTGCGCGGCGCGCGGTGCGCGGTGCCGCCCGAAGGCAAACAAGCTTCCGCGGAAACTGGTGCCGATAGGGTACGTCCAAGTTAAGACAATCCGAATCACGGGCCGGGCGGATGACGGGTGGTGTGATGAGCGCCGCCGACACGTGCCCACGGATACCCCACAATGCCATGATCTCACCGCCCCCGGCCCCGGGGCCGAAGGGGGAGGGGCCCAGGCCGCGGAGGGGGCGAGAGGCGAAAAGGACCCCGGGCCGGGGCTGGGAGCTCCCCCCCCCCCCCCCCCCCGTCACCCCCCCCCCCCCGGGGCCCCGGCCCGGGGAGCCCCCGGGGCGCCGGCCCCCCCCCCCCCCCCCCCCCCCTCCCCCCCAGTTGGGGCTGCCCCCCCCCCCCCCCCTCTCCCCCCTTTGCTCTCTGCTGTCTCGCCCGTTTGGATGACTGACTTGGCTTCGGTGTCAGGCCGCCAGATTTTCGAGCAGGACTCCACCATGGTCAAGTCCGACGAGACGGCCAACGACCAGGACATCCTGGAGGCCACCAAGAACCAGGTGGTCCATCTCACCGAGGAGGACATCAAGTCCTTGGAGGACTTCAGTTTCTCGGACCTGGACGACTAGGTGGCCCTCCTCCCGTGGCCGGCCGACAAGGCGCGCGCGCGCGCGCTCGCGCGAGGCGACCCCTCAGCCACAATGCTCCACACAGACGCATGCCCACCCGGGCGCCAGCGCCCCCTCGCCTCCCTGGGGCAGGTGTGTGCTTGGCGCATGGCCAGACCCGGGCCCGGCGCAGTGCGGCCGCATCCCCCGGTGGTGGAGGCCCGCTCGGCTGTCCCTTTCCCTCTGTCTCTCGCCCTTGCTCCTCTCTCTCTCCTCGGAGCGGCCGGAGGCGGCGCGTCTCTCGATCGGTATTTTTGCACGCGCGTGTGCGTGTCTGCGTCCCATATATATGTATATATATATATATATATGTGCGCCCTCCGGCCACACCTGTCCCGACCAAAACCAATATATATCCATACACTGTTGTTGCCTCTCCTCCTCTCCCGGCCAGCGGTCACAATCACCAATGCGGGAGCAGACGCAAGATGGGGAAGAGTCTCCGGGGAGCGCGGGCATGTGTATCTCCCAACGAAAACACATCTGCCCGAAGGTGTATGAATCGGCACTTGGGGTCACATGCCCGGGACATCACACGCGCGGGCGCGGCCATTTTCATATGGCCTGACTTGGCTCGGCGTTGCACCCTCCCACGAGCGTGGGCCTGTGTGCGTGTCTGTTGGGGGGGGGGGGGAAGGTGCGTTCCCCGTCCCCTGCCACCACCCCCGAGGGGGAGGGAGCCTTCCTCACGCCCCGAGCCATTGCCCGCGCCTTGTTCCCGCGCCACTCTGGGTGCGCCAGCCCCCTGTGTGAGACCCGGGCCTGGCCCTCTGCTCGGGCGGGCGGAATTCCGCTCGCCATCTGTGTCGGATGGCCGCACACCCACGAAATCAGGCCATGTCGATGGCGTTCAGGCACCCACAGATGGCCTGATCCAAAAACGGCTGTGGAGGTTGGTCTGGCTGGCGTCTGTGGCCCCGCGCGCGCCCCGCCCGCCGCCGCCGTCGCCGCCGCCGCCGCCGCCGCCGCCGCCGCCGCCGCTCCTGGCCGGCTCAATTCCCGCGAAAGCACAGCCATCGGCGACGAGCTGGCGGGCGCGGCCGCCGGCCGGTGATGTGCCCTCGCGGGGGGGAGGTGGTTTGTCGCGCGCGCCTAGATGCGTATACATCTTGCGGGGGCGTATGGTGATGCGGGTGATAATGCACATTGCGCTCCTGGGGTCTCCCCTCGCAACCTCTTGCCCGAGGCACGCCAGCCGGCGTCACGTTCCCCCCCCCCCCGGGCCCGCCCCGATCGGGGCGTGTGTCCGCACACGCGCGCCCGGTCGTGGCGTGGGCACCCCCCGCGCCGGGGGCCTCGGGAAGTGTGTGGGCGCGTTCGTGTCCCGCTCCCCCCCGGCTCCCATGCTTCGATCCGGGGTCCCTCAAAAGCGCGGGCCCTGGGGGCCGGATCAGGCCTGACTCGGCCCACCTCCCCCCTTGCGCCTTGTCAGCACCTCTCCCCTCGCTTCCGCCGCGCACGCCCCCCTCCCCCTCCCCTCCCCCTGCCCCCTGCGCTTGCTATCATGGCCACCTTCAACCACGTCTACCCGAATGTCACTTGCCTCAAGGTGTGTCACTGCCGGGTGCTTGCCCTCCTGTCCCCTCGCCTTTGCCACACCCCCTCCCTTGCGTGTCCCCGGCTGGCCGTCTCACCTCGCTCACCCCCGGGCCGGGGCCCCTTTCCCCGGCCGGCCCCTCGCACCACCCCCGCCCCAGGACAAGAAGGCCGTTGTCATCGGCGGCGCCGGCTTCCTCGGCGGCCACATGATCGAGGGTCTCCTGGCCGTTGGCGTTTCCAAGGTGGTTGTCTTCGACATCGTCAACATCTCCCACCCCTCGGACCGCGTCGAGAGCGTCAAGGGTGACCTCCGCAACATCAATGTGCGTCCCGGGGAGGCCCCTGTCGTTCGGGGCGGATCGGTGGCCGCCTCGCTCCTCCGCCAGCCCTCGCCCTGACCCGTTCCGCCCTCCCCCCCCTCCACGCCGCAGGACCTGCTCCCCGTCTTCCAGGGCGCCTTCGTTGTTTACA